TTCGTTGATCGGCCGTTTCAAAAATCGAGTTGTTTTTAATGATTTTTCTCGATTATGTGAAACTTTTCTACACGATTAGTAGCTATCAAGCGGTGCTAAAGTATGGTATTAAAACCCGACTTGTTTACGTTTTGGACATAGGCCCATTTCAAATGTTTCTTGAGATTTGGTCGTGGCACATTTCGCGTACGAGAGAGTGATTGCAGTTAGATTCTCAGTGCCTGAGAAAACTGCAAGTACTTTCGCAGATTACCCGAAGTAGTCACAGACAAGCAGACATAACATCCTTAAAATGTTCATCGAAATCGCTATTAATGGTTAATTTTAATGTTTCTTAGTTGGTAGTACCGCCACTTATGGCGCAAATAATCAATTCCCTTGCATTTGACGTTTACACACTACAGCCATCTGTTGAGTGTATTGCCCATTGCAGTGTATACGACAGATGGCGGTAGGGTTTACAATGAGAAATGTTCAATGTGGTGTGTCTGTTTGTCTGTGATATAACATTGAGGTAACGTTAAAACATAAAACACCATCTCATACTAATCTCTATATTGATTCAATGACTCATTCCGAGTGCTCGGTGGACCAGCGATTTAAGACGCGAGCCTTATGCCAGATGACCATGGCAATACAGTAACAGCTGGTAGACATGAGATCGACCACACCAACCAGTCAACATCGAACCAGGAACGGAGATTAATGCGGATTTATCTCCCTCGGAAAACAAGAAAAACTCGGAAATGGCGAAATCAGAACTGAGCAAGGACGATCTACGGAAGAAAATTGCCGGTGAAGCACGGAATGAAATACAAAGCGTTAGAGAAAAAGTACAAGGGATTCCTAAAGAAGCAACCAATGCACAGTGGTTTGAATGCTCAATATCACGAACTTTTTTATTTGCGCCTTCAATGTCGGTTTTTTCACTATGATGTCTTTAAAAGTGTTTTTTTTTGCATAAAATAAGGCGCAAAGACTAGTGATAGGTTTTAGTTCGGAACTCCACCACAGGCGGCGCTGCAAAATCTAACTTTTTACATTTACAAGATAGGTATGTGGTGTCTTCAGCAAAGTTGTAGATAATTTTACTACAAAAATCTTTGCTGAACACACAAATACTCTGTATTTCTTAGTTTTTGAGATACGTAGCGTTTAATATGACTCTTCAACAAAATTTTTTTTTTCAGTTTTTATAACATATTTAAAAAACTATAGGTTTTAGAAGACTGTGTGTTTTATCACAATACAAAACTTTGTTCAAGACGTCCAAAAGGTATCGATTACACAGACTGAGTTATTCACAAATTTAGTAAATTTTTTCACATATTTTGTACCCTCACAGACAAAAATCCGGCAAAATCCGACAGGTGAATCTTGAATAGGATGAAAGCTTGTTCAAAAGTGATCTCAAATTCCATTGTAACATTTGTCCCTTTTAGTATCCTCGATGATTGTTTTGTATTTTTAAAAGGTCGTTCCGTAGTTCAGTGACAGCGCGCATTTGTCAAAGACTGAATCAAAGTAGGCTCAGTGATAATATAACAAAGTTTGGTCAAACATTGATCGGTTTTGCAGCATGAAACGCATATTACTTAGAAAATAATCGACAGGCGAAAGCTTTTTAAACTGTGGAAAGAATTTAAGGGAAAGGACATTGATAAATCAAACGTTGTGTCGAGAAAAGTTTTTGACTGTTACGGCATTGAAACATAATAAATGCCGTAACAGTCAAAAACTTCTCTGGGCACAAGTGGCAGCTGAAATCAACCATTTTGTGAAGGCGACATGCAAATATAAAAAAAAAAAACTGTGGAACCCACAACCTACTATGCTTGAAAGCAGTCGTGGTTATTTCGATAGCTCCTTCAAACTACCACAGAAAGTTGTTGATCGTTTCCCTTGTACTTCTGGATCTTCCCGTCGTGGAAGAAAATCTTTGGCGTTCGAAGAAAGCAACGAGGTTGTTAAGAGACGCAAGACGTCTGCAATGCGGTCTAACTACCCAACAGATGAACTTGCATTTGCAACCCAAATGAAATTACGTGAGGATGGTAAAGAAGATGCAGCGTTCATTGTAAAACAGGCAACGCAAACAACTCCGACAAGAGCCGTGAAAATAGGTTCGCCTATGCAATCATCCAAAAATGGCTTTGTACCCTATTCGGAGACGGAAGCTCTTGCGTTAATATTGGATCTTAATTTATCGAAAGACCAATACGAAAAGCTTCGTAATGGAGCTCTGGATCGGAATGTGCCTTTGTATCCGTCCTACTACAAAGTGCTGTTATCCCAATCCAGGGTTAGTAGTTTCGGAAACGTCTGCAGAAGTGAAACTAAAGGATCTCTTGGAGCACACGACAATCAGGATTGTTGATGCAAATGCGTGCATGCTGGAAAAGTTTAGTGATGACGAATTGGAGAAAATGACGATTAAGTGGGGATTTGATGGCACAACTGGATTAAGTGAACACAAGCAAGTACTTGGCGATGATGACGGAACTAAATCCGATGCAAATATGTTTGTTACATTCATTGTGCCGATCAAATTGGAATCAAATGGGAACATTTTCTGATCCTCGCATCAGCAGTCTTAGAGCATCTCGAGACAAGCCGATTAATGAGCTCTGTAGCGATGCGAAATACATGCTTGATGTGGAAGAGAAAGATGAAAATGTTTTTGATAACAATATTGTGTAACCTTTGTTTATATTTTTGAAATATTTATATATACATACATACAATGATGTATAACGTAATACGTTAAATCATTTAATTATATTATAATAATAGCTAACTCAAAATTATATATTACTTTCAAGTAGACTACTGTGATTTATGATTATGGCAATTACTCTGATGTCCGTGGTCAAGACCTTTTTGAAGTGCAAAATAATAAACGAGGATACTAAAAAGGACAAATGTTTCAATGGAATTTGAGATCACTTTTGAACAAGCTTTCATCCTATTCAAGATTCACCTGTCGGATTTTGCCGGATTTTTGTCTGTGAGGGTACAAAATATGTTAAAAAATTTACTAAATTTGTGAATAACTCAGCCTGTGTAATCGATACCTTTTGGACGTTTTGAACAATGTTTTGTATTGTAATAAAATACTAATATTTGTTGAACATTATAGTCTTCTAAAACCTATAGTTTTTTTTTAAATATGTTATAAAAACTGAAAAAAATAAATTTTGTTGAACAGTCATATTAAACGCTACGTATCTCAAAAACTAAGGAATACAGAGTATTTGTGTGTTCAGCAAAGATTTTTGTAGTAAAATTATCTACAACTTTGCTGAAGACACCACATACCTATCTTGTAAATGTAAAAAGTTAGATTTTGCAGCGCTGCCTGTGGTGGAGTTCCGAACTAAAACCTATCACTAGTCTTTGCGCCTTATTTTATGCAAAAACTCTTTTAAAGACACCATAGTGCAAAAACCGACATTGAAGGCGCAAATAAAAAAGTTCGTGATATTGAGCGTTCAAACCACTGTGCAATGGCGGCAGACCAGCGGGACATGGCGAGACCGGGCCTATCATTCTTTATAAATAAAATATCAAAATTAAACTAAATACGCGCTAGGTTTGAAAAGAATATTTTCGAACCTGGAAGTGTGTATGTAATACTAATATCCAATTGATAGAGGTAATACATACATGCGGGGCTTATTGTGAGTGAAAGTAACCTCGGAATGGGCGTGACTCTCCAGACATTCTGAAATGCGTTGCTGGATCTGCAGTAGAGTTATCGCCTTCTAACTCCTGGACTAAAGTTGTCTACAATGACCATTAATGCGACATTGTAGAGAAAGTTCTTCCATAATAACACTGCCGGCCAGTGGGGGTTAGAGGAAATACACACACACAGAAACATGAACAATCGAACCCGTTCAACCTAGCTCTACCTGTACCTTTTCGGTTTTCAGAACCATCAGTCTGGTAATAGAAAAAAAAAATCATTAACGTAAACTTCTTTCGCTCAAATTCTACAATGCTTTCGCCAAAATGACATACGTACTGAACAATTACACTCATTATTGCCAATTTTCTTTTTCCAGATTTTGTACACCGTTTCTGTGAACTATTTGGTAACTACATGCACTCTAAATTTTCGACAATCCCCCTTTAAATCTTTCTTCTGTTTGTTCCCAAATTTCTCCACTTAAGGTGATACAATACTGCGTCCACAAATCACCGGCAGCATTAAATTTACTTCTCGATATTTGCTGTATCGCAGCAAACATGGAAAAGCAGTTTTGTTGTTGTATGTTTTCTGGTAGCTGATATTTATACTCCAAACTAGACACTCTCTACTGCAGACAATGTGAAATGACATCAGAGCAAAGGTTTCCACAGATTGTATCACATTAAAACAAATTTAAATTGTGTCACTGACATGCGTCAGTTTCCCCGCGGTCAGATCAGGTTCTTTCAAGTATCGATGGGTTTTCCACTATCAGTTTCAAGATATTTCAAAGACAACCTTCTCCCGAGCAGAACAAGGCACAACATTCCAGTTTTCTATACCACTTTTGATCTACTCATTATTCTCTTTAGGATTCCATTCCCGTAAATCGTTTGACGTTTGCCATGCTAGAAATTAACCAACCCGGAATAATTTCTAAAATATTCGTAGGGTGGTGAACAATAAGTTTCAATACTCTTTTTTCCGCAGCACTTGATTCTTCACATCGTAGAGCATATTCTAGATAGATTTCGCATTAATTTTCTTTGGAAAACCCCGGTGCTTGGAATAGGCGTTCTCCACCCTGTTTCCCATAATTTCCATTTCGAAATACATCACACAGTCCAACTCAGTCAGCTTGGCGTCCTACTCAGCAGCACTTGATGGTTGATCAAATTGTTTGTTTGCGAATTTCGTAGCGTCTGCTACGAAGGCGAACCAGTTTTAGAGTGATATCTCAAATGACACACCTTGTTGATTTGCATAATTATTGTTTTGTTCTCCTCAGCACTATAATTCCACTTACGTGCATGAATTTCTGAATGCGCAAAAAGCGCTATGGCCACTATTATTATCAACATAGCTGTCTCCATCATCTATCGGTATTAGCACTATCTTACACCTAGCCTTGATATAGACGCTCTTGCGTTGGATCACTTCAAGCGCGGGTTACTATAGTAACCGATCGAGACTATTCGTGCGCACGTGAACTTGAAACTCACTAAATCCGTTGAAATCACGTCCTTGATGGTCTGATCAACTGAAGCAACTGATGTCGAACGACGGATGAACGAACCGAAGTCACATCTGCGCCGTCTGGCTTCACCTTCATCGTTGCCGTTGATGCGGTAGTGGTAGTGTGTGAGAACGAGGAAGAGATATCGCGTCACGGGATTTGAATTCCGTTTTGATGATCCGTCATCGTCGTCACATCGGTTAAGCCCGCTCGAGACAGCATGGACTGAGGGAGCTGCAGTTGAAAAACCGTCCTACTCGAATCACGTGCTTTTCAATCAATTATGCATAACTGACTTGACGCGGTTCGCGCCCATGAAGAGGTGTGTTTGACGCCAACCGCCGGTCCATATGTGTCTCATAACGTGGAGAGAGGGCCGAGAAGCAAAAATCCCAGAGAAACCGGCTTGTTCGCATTTTCCACTAACAGCATGGAGACACATCGATTGCCGCAAAAATCCACTACGTGCCTTGACATAACCCGTGCAGACATCGAATACCACTGATGATACTGACTCACCATAGGAAGCGGTTTGCTCAGAAAGCAGTTCGAAGCGGTTTGTTGTTTATTTTGTGTAAGTGCTGTTTCCATTCCAGTAGGGCTGGGTGTTCAATTTTGGGCCTTCGTAGGCATGTGTACCCGAGCAATTAGAAGATTTCAACATATCTCCCATAACTTGTCAAAAGGACGTAAGCTTCTAAACGATTATATAATACATGCTTTTCCTACGACTTCTATATATTTAATGAACGCCCTATGTGTCTTCTTTTATTGTTTTTAGAATGGTTTTGATACACCCTTTTATTTTCAACATGACTTAACTGTCAAAATTTGCTGATAACACAAAAACTGCAGTGAAACGTCATATCTGGGTCAACAATAGAAAAGGGCCCATCAGCATTTGTAAACAAACCATTCTAAAGCCCATTCCTCACAAATCGAAGGCCGCCCACACAAACCAACACCATCATCGTGGAAGTTTCCCCTATCCATATTATGTGAAAAAGCAAAGCAATCATTTTCAATTAGGAGATGCGTCAAGTAATTTATAAGTAGCAATCCTCTGGCACGGCCATTGGTTCTTGAAGCTGCCGTCAGTGATAGCGGTGGCGTTGATGTTTGAATGATTTTAAGCATCGGTCATACGTTACCATCGCCTTAGCTTAGCGATGAGATTCACCGTTCCGAGTATGACCAATCGATAGGACGGTCATTGATTCTTGAAGCCACCTTGAACTCACTTCCATGCACTTCATTCTTATAATTTTGTAGGGCGATAGAAACCCAACTGCAAAACACCGAGATAACAATTGAAATCACTAATCACTTGATGAATTTTCATCAATACCACAACGTTGCCATGGCCGTTCAAACAAACGCATAAACGGAGCTGAAACTCGAAAAATTTACATCAGCCGTCAATAACTGACGTATAATCGAACCAAGGAGCCAAAAAATCGGCTTCAAGCAAAGAGTTCTTGGATGACTTTTGTGCCACCGGAGTGGAGTGATAAGTAGATACAAAATGGATTTTAACGGGTTTCAGCTATTTCTGTATGTTCGAAAAAAAAAATAAAATAAATATTTGTTTTAGATGCAGCCACCCAGTTTGATGAGTCACAACAGTTTCAGTTTGCTTCTGCACATTTTCCCAGGGCAACAGACATGATCCTGAATTCTTTCCGAGTAACCGACGTAGGGTAGAGAACTACTTCGGCCTAATCGCCCATTTTGGGCCTATCGAGCAGAAAACTTCAGATAAATCCATGATTTCAAAGTTAACAATTGTCAATGACTTAAGTCAATTCCCAAGTAGCATTTCTTGTTTTATTGCACTCTATTAGTGGTTTTTGCGATCAATTTTGTTAAACCGCCAATAAAGTTAATACCTCCAGTACAACCTTTTTTTCTCTTTTTTTTAACTAGTTCGTTTATTTACTAGGATCAGTCGTGCACAACCTTTTGATTACCGCTATAAGATCGTCTTCCAGCTTAGTGGACCACTCTTGATAAGGTTTATAAAGCATGTTTGAGAATCACAATAAAGCTTTCTTAAAACCTTTTGTTTTCATAACCTCTTTAAGAGTAATATTGTATCCAAGCAGTTTTATTACGCTTTGGTGAAAATCAGTTATAAATCCAATTTAATTTTCATTGCATCAAAGCAACCGCCATAAATTAGCTTGTTGTTGTTCTGTTCTGCTGAAACTTTTTTTTCCATATGGTAATCTTTAGCAGTAGAAATAGGTTTGAGTGTTGGTGTCAAGATCACCATGCAATCAATTTTGTTTCATGGCGACATTAGTAAAAATCTTAAAGAAAATATATGCCTTTTTAGAAGTTCCAGAACATATGCGCTTGAAACTTTATGGTGTATATTGGTATAATATGAGCGTTAAATAAATGCGCCTCAAAAATAATTCAAGTTAACAAAAAAGATTGTTTTAGAAACAAATTTATTTGATGGAATCATCTTAATTTTACAGAAAATCTACTCAATAAATAAATTCATACCAATGCAACACTGGAAATCAGTTCGGGTCTCTAATTTAGCTATTATTTTATTGAAATCTCTTGGATTTTATTCCAAGGCTAATGGGATTTTCATAATGACAATATGGCGACAGAGGACAGCAGGCAAGAAAAACACCAAGCGCAATTTTTTAAAATGTCTAATGCTTACTTTTTTTTTTGCTTTATTAGAGAGATTTTCCCTAATGCTTACATTGGATGGAAGCAGAATAGAAAAGCATAGTGCATGATTTTATTTCGAGCACTATTTTCTTTTTACACGAGCAATTCATTTTTTTTTAATTGAGGGTAAACGTATATTCCTATGCTACGGGTGCAACCGATGAATTTTACAAACATTTGGAAAAGTTTTGAATGGTACATTAAACTTTATGAAAAGTTATGCGTGATTTCAACTTTTTTGTCCTAGAACTGTCACCATTCCATGTATTCCGACCAAGATTCGACAGTGTCACCCCATGAAAAAAGAGAAAAGAAAAGGAAAGAAAAGTTTCAATGCTGATTGTTGAATTGTTGTGACCATCCACGACTGTAAATCGGATAAGAGACGCAAGTTGGCATAGGTATCATCCTCCGACTCAAGATAATTATATATTTCCTCTTCATGAGTCATTTTTGGTGTAGCAATGCGTCCATTCGAAGTGAAGATGGTTCAGAATGGTTCTGAGGCGCACTCTTTATAGCTTCCTTTGTGACATCCGCAGAAAATGCAGCGGCATTTTTTTTCTTGGCTGGAGTTCTTCACGAAGATTTGCGGCTGACATTTTGTTGATTTTCTTTGCGCTCCGCTTGGAAGTACCGGAAAGTTTTAATTCTTTCTATGTAAAAATAAACCGCCCATTTACACTTCTGACAAGTTGCAACTGAATGCTTATAATTGTTTTTAAATAACTGTTCCATGGCCAACTAGTTTTATTGCGCTTACTTATATAGCAATAAAAGGATTTATTTTTGGGTTTTATAAGGGCAATTCATATTGCTTTTTTTATACTTCAAGGCAATCATAAAACCTATCATAAGTGAAAATAGCATAAGCATCAGTTGTTTTTTTATTAGTTTTATAGGGGTTTTGTAGATAGCTATGGGAATGTTCCATGACTTGCATTGTATATGACCGCCATAAAGCTGTAGGTAATGGTTGCATCTGCAATAAAACCTTTATAAATTTTGAATATAGCCAAGCAGCTCTAGATTTGTTACTTGGGCTATGCGTTTGGTACGATACTTTAGTTAATAAGCTTCCGAACGAAGTCAATGAGAACGCGTGATATGAAGGTTTGCATCCATGATTCCCAAAAACAAAAGAAGCGCTCCGACCGAATCAATTTTAATCTTCATCCGATATGCCGAAGTGAATTCATTGGCGTTTCAATGCATTAGGCCGAGTTTAGAATCTATAGGCCGAGTTTGGCGTCAAGAAGCAGTGTTAGACTTTTGACAATATCTCAACGAATGGTTTATCTGTATCAAATCTTAAGGTACGTACGGAAAGGTAAATACATTTGGAGGCCATCAGTAATAATAACATTTCGTTTGGTGCTAAACTGCGCTATATTAAGAAAGACTAAGTGCGAGTTGTGCTTAATAGGCCAGAAATAGGGTAGTTAACAAAAACTGATGTGATCTGACGCATGCGAAAACCGATGTCGAGTAGATGTCGCCACACGACGTAAACAAAGGGATTATCCTTCACCGCCGCCACGGTATTTCTCTATGAAAAACCAACTTTTTGTTTCACCTTGATTCACCAGGCAAGAATGCTACATGAAAAGTGCTAATTTATGATTTTAGGGGTGAAATGAAACAAATCCATACAAATTGAACCGAGTTTCATCTTCTTATATCATCGAATGCTAGGGGCAAGTCAGCTATACTCTGAGCAAATATATTTACATTGAGTAACTGTGAGTTACTCGTATTTGCTCAGAAAATAACAAAATAGCCTCAATTTTACTTTTTCTATACTGTCATATTTACAAACAGCCATTATGAACAGATGTATAGCTAATTGCAAGTGAGTTATTTTTGTATATAATAGCCTTGTTGAAGAGTAGATGATCCATCCAACTAAAACTCTGTTATCACCATACAGTTATCGTTCAACACACCAGCTCGGTAGATCAAGACCCTCATACTGATTAGACGATATTGTGCAGTACGATTGCATTAGCTCTCTCCCACTACGTATCAGTGAAGCCATCATCATGCCATCAGAAGCTCTCAGAAGCCCAAGGAAATCATCGCATCGACGGAGGACTGACCTTCCTACAACGATCGTGCGGGTAAAGGGATCAGTCCACCTCAACCAGGTCCCTGTATTATACGCATAGGAGACTTACGACGGCATTTTAATCCGTTACGTTGTTCCTAGTTTAAGTGAAATACAAATTAGTGATAAACTTAATAAACCTTTTATTGTATGTTTTGCTGTGTTAAATAAAGTGCTAGGTATTATTTAACCGTAGCGAGTG